TTTTTTTTTTCTTTTTCCCTCTTCTTCCCCTAATTGAATTTGATCATCAAATACATATCACAATTCTGACCTGGTTAAGATATGTGAATACCAGTAGGTCTTCTGAAGTCACTGGAGCTACACCTGTTTGTAAGTCTGTGTGCTTACAGTATTAGAGGTTGTGGTCTTGTTTTACAGTACATAGCGTTTCCCATATTTGGTTTTATCAGGTGGATATAGTCAAACATTTTGAATCATTAATATCACTGGGACTTCAGGGAGCAATGACTGTTAGGAGAGCTATTCAACTAATTTATGATTTCACACAAACAAGGAAAAAGACAGAAAATACAGGATTCAACACCTTCATATTTTGCAGTCAAGTTAGTTTAATTAACCTCCTTCTTCTGGTTCCTGATGTAACATTCTGATGTAATTTTTATTTTATTTATAAGTGATGTTATAATTTTTGGTATTCTCAAGAACTGATGAACATGTCTTCATTTCAGATAAAATCTTGACATAGGATTTATGTCTTTCTTGAAACAGTGTTCAGTCAGTACCACTGTTTTAGAACTGTGGTGCCATGTGGGACGGAAATGGTAAAAACCATGAGAGGTAACATAATCCTGTGTGGTGCTGATTTTTTCATTACCTGCCTTGAATGCTATTGCTGGTAGCATTAATCACAATGATTTGTAATACAGATCACTTATTGTTACAAATTCTTCATTTTCAATTCTACTGTGTATAGACTCAAATACTAAGTAAGTAATAATGTTATTTAATATATGGTATTGTGTGTGCATCTCCTCCATCGGAAAGGAAAAGAGAATTTGCAAGAAACGATCTAAACCTATGGGCATTTGGCTCCACCTTCAGAGACAAGAGGGAACAAATGACACCTTTATGGACTAAGCTGCCCTGCCTGCCTTCGCTCAGAAGTGTAAAAGTAGAATTCCCCCCCCGCATCCTTAACAAACTGTAAAGGATGCATGTGTGGAGCTGATGCGTGGACCTCCTCCATTTTTAGATACCTGTGTGATCATCAACAAAAATTTGAACATCAGTGAAACAACCTGTAGTTAATGTGATTTGTATGCTTTGCAGAAACCAGGCCTTAATGAGGTATTTCTGCATATGGTAATTTAGGGGAAGTGTCCAAGTAAGTGGCAGCACAAAGTTTTATTACTCTTTTTTTGTTTTGTTTTTTTGTTTTTAAATTTATGATAGCTTATGGTATCTGTACATTAAATGGATGCGAGAATGGCCAGGTCTGTGTAGAGGGGCTGCGGTAGAATAACAATAATGCCTTTTTTCCTTCTTTTATTACTCCGTTAAAGCACGGTTCTCTTTTTGTGGTTTTGTGGGAGAGTTTGTTTTGTTTTGCGAAGTCATGTACTGTTTTTTCTTTCTTCTCTTGTATATTAAGAAATAATTCTGAATGTGTCAATTTTCCTTTTTCTTTGTAGGTTCTGCCCAGTTGGTGTTTAGTGTGACAGACGTTGTTGAAAGAACTGACTGTAATAAAACTGTCATTTTACCTTGCAATGTGACGAATCTAAAGGAGAACAATGCAAGTGCCATGTTTGTTACATGGAAAAATAAAGGAAAAATAATTTTTTCTTTTGATGGAACAAGACAGGAGTTTTTCAGAGATGAAACAGTTCCATCAGCTAACTTCGTCTCTCAGGCGGATTTATCCAAGGGTATTGCCTCTCTCAGGCTTAACAGTGCAGAAGCAGATGCTGGAAATTACAGCTGTGAAGTAACAGAATCAAATAGAGAAGGAGAAACAAGAGTTGAACTTAGAAACCAGTCAGGTGAGTTGCCTGCCATTGTTTTAGAACATGTTGGGAGAGAAAACAAGCAAAATCTTACGGGAAAGAGAAAAATATTTAATATGACAATGTGTTACTTTAAATTGAAAATACAAAAAATGTAGCACCCCGGCCTTCTTACTTGGATGCTAATGAGTTATTTTGGATTAAGTTATAGGGGAGTGCTCCTGTGGGAAAGATCTGAACACATTTTTTCATTCTATAACAATGGCTGAAGATCACGTGTCTAATATAGTAAAACATATGCTTTTCCACATTTTTTAGGTTATATAGTTGGTGATATTTTCAACACTTATGTTATTGCCTTGCATACTGAAACATACTCCTGATATCTTTATAATACTGAGATGTATTCATCCACCATGGTAGCTGCAGAGATCTTTTCTTTGAAGAATTGCAGCTTGCAATCTTTAGCTATGCTGGAAAAATTACAGATAGAACTAATAGAAATTCTGTATAAGAGCTCTGAAACTCGATCTGAAGGTGTGCAGTTTTCCAGTGAGGTTGAAAATGCTACTACTAGATGGTAACTTGTTACGGCTGGCAAGCATGAAATGTCGCCTTCAGAAGATGCTGTTTAAAATAATGGTGACTAAGTGATGAATTTCTCATTTAGTGAGCCATTTTACTGTATCTTGTCAGGCACAGCCCATGTGCTCTAGCGCCTCAGCCATTGAATAATGGGATCTGCTGTACATGTGCAGTCCATCTAGTGTTCTGCAAAGGTGACAGTTTCACTTAACAGATGTGTCTATTGTTTATTTGTTCTGCACAGGAGACTTGCTCCTTGCTTCTGGGAAGTTTGTTGGAGGCACTGAATATGTTACATACGTGTAGCACATGGAGTCTTACCCATGCACTGTGGAATTGTCCCAGGATGTTCTTGCTATTAGTTTTTCATTTGTCACTAAAATATTTATGAAGCTCAAACAGATGTTACTTGTGTCCTGCTGCAAACATCTGTGTAATTCACAGTTGGGTTTAATTATGGAGTTAACTATACACACTGCAAAACAAATGTGATCCTGAAATGGATTGAGAGGGGCACAGCCACTGGAAGAATGAGGTTGCTACAAAATCGTTAGGTTCTTAGAACACCGCAAAAACAGGGGAAGAAGTATAGGCAGTTTCCTTCCTTCTCCTATAACTTCTTCCTTACTCAACTTTTTTGGACTGTTTTTGCCGTTCAGTGTTAAGCTCTAGAAGAGGAAATAAGGCTTGAGGATGTAGTAGAATCAAGTCCTGTTTGCAAGTTTTATTGTTTTATTTTTACTTTCTCGGTGTTTAGAATTTTGGAAGTGATATAAAGACTACAAAGCAGCAAACTGATGTAATTTTTTTAATTTCATTTTCTAGTTGTCAGTTGCGGCGAGGAAAATGCCCCAACACCAAAGGAAAAATGTGGTTGGTGAAGAATTTATAGTTGCGAGGTCACATTAGGTTTGAGAGTCTATGCTAGAAAATGTAAAAGTGTTATTTTTGAGGCTTTAGCTGAAGGTAAAACAGTCACTTGTTCTCTGTTTAAGTTCTTCTGCATAATTTTTTTGTCGTTTGTTCCTCAGTATTCTAGAAATAGTAAGCTAATAGAACAAAGCATAGCAAGTGAGTTTTGAAAAGAGTTAGTGAAAAATGGAAATCCTGTACCAGTCTTCACTGTCATTTCTGAGCTCTTGCTATTAATCTGTTGCAATTTATGCTTTTACAAAGATAGTGTTGTAAGAGTGAGCTATTCTCCATCTCACTTCACAGAATTCCTGTGTTCACATAGGAAGTGGGTTGCAGAGTGAGCAAGACTTAGGTTCTAGTGCCCTTGGCTTTGGGCATGCTCTCTCCTGATCAGTTATCTTCACAGGAGAGTGACCGTAATGTTTCCCCTTTTAATTTTCTCCCCTCTCTTTTCCTCTGCCCCATGCCTGGAAGCCTTTCTTGTTCATTAGGAGGCAACTTCCTTATATTTGCTCTCAAAACAATACTTTTCACCAGGAGTTTATTGCTATGAAGTACCAGAGTAAGGGAAATGTATTACCAGGAAAATGTGTTCAGCTGTTTCTCTTATTTGCATGTTGCATGTACCAGCAGTATTGCGAGCATTTCCTTACAATAAGTGGTTATAGACTCTGAGACTGGACTGTATGTGGTTCCATGATGCATGCTGAAGTCCTAGCAGATACCAGGCTTCATGGCTGCTTTTTTTCTTCTTGTAGTACCTGGAAATGCTACAAAGGAAGTGAAGCTCCTTTTCAGTCTTTGCTTGCGGATACTTTCAGTTCATTAATAACTCAGTTACATTGAACACTGTTGCTGGGATTTGCCTGTAAGATTTGGCTAATCTAGAGAGTGGCAACTGTTGAAGTTACTGTTCAATATTAGTTGCTTTTTTGAAAATACAAATGAAGCAAAAAGCCTTCCTTGAAACAATTCATTAAATTAGGCTTCTTTTGGAGCTAAGGAAGTTGGTAGATACTCCTCCATTTCTCTGGCTTTAGTATGTTTTATGATTGCCTTGTATTTATGTTCTAACCATAATGTTGTCTTCTGTGACCCCTTGTGGGGGGAGGCGAGGGCAAAGAGGGGAATTTGTGAATTTAAAACTGTCCTTAAGGTATTTACTTGGCACTGAAAATTGTGAGGTATTGCTACTTAATTCCATGTTTCTGGAGCTGCAGATACAGCTTTTAAATATGGAGAGTAAGTGCAAGGAGCATGCATGTAAATGAAGATTAGAAATTTCTTTGGAAGCAAGCGTGCAGACAGAGGAACGGTGGCAAGTATAATATAAGGAATGGGGACTTTGGACTCCACTGAGTCTAAATGAAGCTATGAGCAGAGATACAAGAATCACCTGCATTTTCTAGCTCAGTGGAGATGTTGTCAGAATTTTATGTAGGAAGGTGGCTTACACGGTCTTCCAGCACAAGTAACTGAACAGCCTAAAGCATCCAAGATGCAGGAGAAAAAAACCTAAATGGATGATGGTGGGAAGACCTAAAGGAAATTGTGTGATTTCTAAAACTAACAAAGCAGTGTGTCCTTCTCACTTAGGTTAGCTCCTGTATTCCTTATCACACATCTGGATTTCTTTGGAAATTACAGCATTTGGAGGTAGAATGGAATAGCTGGGGAAGCATCAAATTGGACTTTTCATATCTTGCCCACCTTCCCTGCTTAGCTTAAATACATCATTTTTCTGATCTACTGTGCTGTTTGTAGTTCCACAAGCTAACTAGCTTGTACTGCCAGACAATAGCGTAAACATATGCTCTGCTGCAGGGGAGGTTATGACCTCCGGTTTGGAAAATGTTAGGGTAACTAGAAATACTGAAAAAATAGGTTGTCACACAAAGATTGGAGTGAAAAATAGGTAGAAGTCATCACTTTCTTAGCCCGTTATAAGTCTCAATACTATTACATACAGTATTAAGCAATCTAGAGCATAGCCAAAAAGGAGCAATAAATGTAATGCTAATAACCTCAGTTTTTGTTTTCTTCCTATCATTTTTCTTTGTTTATTCTCTAGGATCATGGTTTCTTCTAGTGGAAAGGGCCATCATCATAGCATTGCTGTTCTTAGTTATTATTTTGTGTTCGGCTCAGTTAAGTGTTATTGGTAAGTATTGACTCTTTAATTTTTTGCCATTATTTATTGGTCCTAAAATTACTTGCTTGCATACAGGCATTCGTGTAAGATGAAAGACAGTGCTTACGACTAAAAGATGTCTGGAGAACTGATCCAGATAATACGCAGAGGGGAGGTACGTCTGCTTTGTCACAGAACAAGGTGTTTGGTTTGCTCTGGAATGCTCTCCTGATCATCCATACTGGTACTTACGTTTGTTTCTGGGCAGTCTTTTGGCAGGAATGGACTAACACTGTGAGAGAGTTAACTTGTATACAGTTCTCAAGATAGTTCCTAATAAGCACTTGTTACTTACAGGCTTGGTCAGTGAGAGCACACCAAGCTACATGTTTTTGTGCTACATAGTCTTCCATTTCCTTTTCAGTGAGCCTTGCACTCTTTCAGGACGTTTTTGGCATCAAGCTATGAAAACGCTGGTCTGGCATAGCATTTGCAGAGTTTGGGACTTTTCTTGAAGTGGGGACGCAGGCACTGTTGAAGGGGGGTCTATAGCCCTAAGCACTGGGATCTGGGCCAGTCTGCTCTGTTTGCTTGGAGACAAGGGGTTGGTTCCTGGGATTAAGAGTTTTAGCAGCTGCGTGTCATTGTAGACAAAGGTATAATGTGCAGCCTAAAGGGTGTGTGTTTAGAGCTAGTCTGCCATGTGGTGAAGTTACTGTTGCAAACGATGAGCTTTTTTGCATGTGCATTAATTTTTGTGGGGTATAATTGGTAGTGTCTACTGTCATTGGTTAGAACAAGGGAGCTTTTCTTCACTGTTGGTACACCATGACATTGACTCATTAGAAGCAGAAACATGTTTCATTTTATGGTCATAAAATCAATATTAGAGAAAGATGGTACTCTCTTCTTGATGTAAAATTGTTCATTAGGCTTTTAGCACTGGCTGAGCTGCAATTTATCACTGATGTCAATGATTTTGTTAAATGTTTTCAGAGGCAATACGTTCACCAGTGTCACATATCCTTAGATGTTCTTTATGCACTGGTGTCCAACATGTGTGCAATGTAGATTGTGCTTTATGTCCTAGTCTTCCAGATTATTCCCTGTGGTGCAATTTGTTACATCAGTCTTTGTGGGTTTTTTCAGCCTTTTTCAATTTGTAAACTTAGAAAAAAATTAAAAATTTCTGCTTAGTTGAGTCCATAAGCAATGGAAGGAAATCACACTCAGAGTGATTTCTAGTAATCACATACATATTCAGCCATCTGTATATAATTTCCTTTATTACCTTTTCATGAACTTCTGAAAGTGGTATGTGACTCTTCAAAGGTGCATCCATGGTCAGAGGTTGACAACTAATATATATTTTAAAAACTATTTTACTTCCATACTGTTAGATTTCATTATTGTTTGTAATGGTTTAGGAGTCTCTATTGCAAGGTCTGTGACTTCTCTAGGGAAAAGTAATTGTGCTACCTCTAATTTAATACACGTGGGTGTGCTTACTGTTTGGTTTTTTTTTTTCTTTTAATTTGCACTGTTTCGGTTAACCTATGAATCCAGCAGTGCTACAGTATAACTTTAAATAGTTTGTTAAACTGAGCTTGATTTTTCTGTGTAACACTTGAGAATACATGTTTTCTTGGTTTTGTGTTTTATGGGGGTTTGGTTTTGTTGGTGTTTTTGTTTTGTTTTGTTTTTTGGTTGGTTTGTTTGGGGTGGGGTTGTTTGGGTTTTTTGCTTACAGGATTGACTTTTAGGATTTAAGTATAGCATATCCATTTTTGCCTTTGTGTCTTGCTTTCCTTATTTGGCATATTTATAATACGAAAAAAAGTGAATTTCCAGTACAGATATGCAGGAAGTTTCTACTATTACTACCATTCCAAATAAGTTTTTGATTTAAGTAATAGTAATAGTTGGGAGTATGACTGGGGTCCTGTTGTGTTAAACAATGGAATATAATGAAAGATAGAGCTTTAATTACAAGAGGGAGTATTCTGTAATCATTCCATAGATAAGATACTGTTGAGAGTTTGTCATATGTGCCCTCCAGAATCTTAACTGTATCCTTGTGATATTTTTTTTGGTGCTAACGCAGTGCATGTAAGTGGGATGTTAATTCTGTACGTGCTCCTTGTTTTTCTTTTTGAAGTTACTTACAGTATTTGTTTGTTCTCTGTGATTACCAATTTCAACTTATACCAAGGTTGTTGGTATATTAATTTTCAAGCTTGAAGCAAGAGCTGCCTTTTTTGTGTCTCAGTTTTAGCAGTGTATAAGGCAGAAACAAACACGACTTATGATATTGTATTTGTACTGTTCCTTCTTTTCCAAAGACTACTAAAGTGCTGCTGCTTTGAAACCCTGCACTGGCATCAACCATTTCTGACATGGCAGCTATTTAGCAGTGCAGTTTTACTGAAAATTAGTCTTCTCTATGGCATCTGAACATGTAGGTCATCCCATATCAAAGCATTCTGGTGAGATGGGAATATTACCCTGTACCCTTGGGGATGGAGGTGATACATCTGAGCTCACACAGTGTCATGGGAAAGAGAATTAAACCTGTAATTTCTAAATCCCTATCTGACACTCATATGAGTAACAAATTCACTGTAACATTATTTGAATGTCAGTAGTTCATCTACTTGAATTAACCCGTACTATATCCCAAAGTTATTCTGATAACATATCACCTGAATTGTGTAGAAGGTGGAATTAAGAATTTGAATAAAACACCAGTGTGAGGTTTCATTTCTCTGAGTAAGCCATATAAACCATATCAAACCATGAAAACAAAAAAAATCTTGGTAATATTTCTAGTTCTAGTTTTTTAGGAGTTTGTTTCTTTTAGGAAAACAATCCTAATCATAAAATCTGTGTATTTTGGTGAAAGAATCTGTATGTCTGATTGTTTTCCTCTTTGTCTCTCTTTATTTTGTCTTTTAAGCATTAAAATGTGAAACTGTACCTCAGAAGAAAATGAGCATTATTGTAGCAGGTATCATCTTCACAGTTGCTGCTGTTGTAGGCACTGTTCTTTTTGTCCAAGGTAAGTATATGAAAATTGCCTTCCTAGTTTAAGAGAATAAGAGCATAAATGAAACTCTTCCATACAGTAGTATAGAAATTAGGAGCACCTATTAATTGCAGCCTACTAATTTTAAAATGGAAAAAAAAAAAGCTACAGAATAGAACAAAAACAACATTGTGGTTGTGAGGCCCTCAGATGATCACAGGAAGATACAAACTCCAAATTTATTTATATTTTCTGTCCTGCTGCCTTGAGTGAATATTAGGGGCTACAGAGTGAGTTCTGGTGCTTCAGTGCGGGTTTTTTCTGGACCCTAAAAACTTGATGATACTAATGATTTACTTTTGTTGCTTTTTTTTGTGTGCTTTTTTCCAATCACGGATTTCTGTTTTACTAATTTCCATACAAATGTTTGCAGATGGCTATACTGCACAGAATCAAGCTGGTCTTGGCCTAATTGTAGTCCCTGCTGTGATTTTGGTACCGCTTCAATACTTTATGTTTGGAATTGGTGAGTATTTTACTTATTCAGTAGCTCAAGAACATACTGATAGAAAAACTGAGGGGCCCCCCCCATCTACATACTATTGTCATTTTTATAAATAGGTACTATGATAGCATGCTGGGTTCCTGACCTTCCTAGTATCTGAAAACAAAATGTTAACCTGTGTTTGTTTGGATAAGTTGCTTAAGGGAAGAAGTGTAAGTTACCTTCTTCAAAAGTGAGATTTAGGGTAGGACATCTGAGTGATTCCTGCTCTTCCTTGCTGGGTCTTGGGACTGGGGTGAATAACTAACTCTCAGGATGTACGTCTTTAATTTTTTCTACTTATGGTTTATTTACAATTTTATTTATATACACATCTGTTTGTCTGTGTGTATACATACAAGAGCCCTGAGTGACTTGCAGTGACTTGTGAGTTTTGCTATTACACTGTCTGGCTGAACTGGGAATTTAGGAGAATCTGATTTCTAGCTTTATGTGAATGACCTACCTTTTGTACCTCCTTAGTTAATCTTTAAAAATTAAGATTTTGTTTCTCTTTCTGTCTTTCCCAGTTTTCGATAGTCTACCACAAACAACATTTGCTCTGATAGGTTTGCAAACTCTTGGTTATATAACTGCTGTGGTTGGTTTTGCACTGTGTGTCTCAGGTAAGCAATTTACCTTCTGTAAAAGTGTCGTCTTACTTTTGTCTGTGCCTGATGTTTGTTTATTTGTGACACTAAAACGCTATGAAAATGCCTTCACTACATTGAGCGTTAGCAAGTAACATCTGTGCATGTACTGTGCTGTGTTAATGCTCTGTTGGTGAAAGGGAGAATAGCCCAAAGGCAGTATTACATATATCAGTTTCATTAGTATGACTATATCCAGCATGACTGCATTCTATGAGCAGTTGTGTTAAAAAAAAAAAAAAAGTTAATAGTTTTAATTTTGCAATAGTTCGTGTCCTAAAGAGTTGCCTAAAACCCGCATTGACCTTTACTACTGTTATTCTTACTGAGGCCTAGGGTATTTAGAAACTAAGCTAGAGTTGTCATGATTTTCTCATGTTCAATGAATAAATCAGACATTCCTTGTTAATCTCCGCTTGTATGTGACTGATAACCGAATTGCTGGGAAAGGAATGCCATTGAAGCAGCCCAGGAAGGCAAATGCAGAGACAGTAAACTTTGAAGTGTTCCTGGACTGTGTTACGTCTGGTTGTGGCTGGCATTCTGTTTCAGCACTGAAAAACAGGCCCTGTTGTAAAGGAACACCAACTAAACACCGCGTGCAGCGATACCCCATATCCCTGCCGCTAACCCTCCCTTTGTCCGCTGCTTGCCTTCCCCTTCCCCCACAAGAAAACCCCACAGCAGAGAAAAGGGTGAATTTAGGACTAGGCATCCTTGGCAGGATATTTAGTAGTAGAATACATGCTCATGTTTATTGGAATCGCTTTATACCCTGTATTTATTGTTTTGTAGAGTCATTCTTCATATTAATTGTTTACTTGGTTGGGGCTTTAAGAAAAAGCATTTCTCCTTGAAGTGGTTTCTAAAGGTTTGTCTAATCTGTGTGAAATGATAGACCTTTCAGTGGAGTTATGATTTGAGTTTTATGCTTATTGTTTAATATTTACAGAAGTATTTGTAAGGGGCACCTAAGTGTTTTCAAATGTCATAGTAAAATAAATTGATGGGAGATTTCTGGTAAAGCATTAATCCTCCAGAGTAATACAAAATGGAGGATGTTTTTATTGATTCAAAGAAATCCAAACTTAAGAAA